TTATAGGTGTTCCAGGGACCTAAAACAAGTGACGAAATTTGGATGCTAACTATAAACTTTTGCACAAGTTGAGCTGCAAGTTATGCAAGAACAATAGATGTTGATAGTTATTACAGGAAGGTTTACACATTCCCGGCTAAGATCAATTTTTTTCTTCTAATTCGTTACATAAACATAAGGAAAAAGATAATTAAAATTTTAGTTAATATAATTCTGGATCTCACAAAAGCAAGCACTTTCAACAGTGTGTTACAGTCTTTCTCACAAATTATTTATAATGGAATGTCTAACATTAGAATAATGAACAAGAAATTCAAAGAGAACATAATTTTAAAAACTTTTTAATGAACATAAATTCTTATTGGTCTTTTCCTTTTTCAATTCTGTAACACAGGGCTTCTTAAACTTTTTTATTCATGACCCTATTTATGATTGCGATTTTTTTCGTGACCCAAAAAATATAAAATAAAGATATATACAAATTTGCAAAAACAATAATGGTGTACTACCACAGTTCACTCTTGTGTTACAATGGAACAGAGACAACTGAATACACTGAAAAGTGACAACACTACACTAGTTCACACTACAATCAGTGTTGCTGAATCGTTGTCTCACTGCATCAGAAGTGACACAAAGTGCAACTCATGAAACCTATAACACAAAACGTGCCATTTTCAAACTATCACAAATTATTTTCAGTATTTTGCATTAAAATCTCGCAACCCAAGATTTTGCTAAATGACCCCAAATGGAGTCACGACCCATAGTTTAAGAAGCCCTGCTGTAACGGGTTGAATGAAATGGAACACAAATTGACATGAAATAAGTTTTTTGACATCGGAATAAGTTTTAAAACTACTTGTGTTTCTTTCTGAAATTAGTTGTATATAACAAAATACAATATAAAAAAAATCCTTTCAAAATTTTTATTGTGTCTAGGAAACACCAGAACTAAGAAAATATCAGGATTTCAATTGTTTGAGCTTTGATCACATTAGGATTTCAACTGGATTCTACCATAAATATGATTTAAAAAATAAATCATTTCAATTCACATGAAGAATATTTCTTATTTTATTAAAAAAATCTATAAAATCTATGAAAATTATATATACTTTATTATATTTTTCAATCTTCTAATCTTTATTTAAATAAAAATTTAACACAGACATTAAATAAA